ACAACAAACAAAACCCGAAGCTAACAGAAGGAAAGAAACAGTAATGATTAGAGCAGAGATAAACAAGAGAGAGAATTTTAAACAACAATCAATTAAACTAAGAGTTGGCTGTTTGAAAAGACTAACAAAATTGACAGACCTTCAACTTAAATAAAAAGAGAGAAAAGAGCTAAATAACTAAAACCAGAAACGGGCGAGAAAACATTGTGTCCTACAGAACAACACATCTTGCAGAAATAAAAAGACCAAGAGAATATTATGGACAATTATGCCAACAAATTGTCTAACCTAGATGAAATGGACAAATTCCTAGAAAGACACAACCTACCAAGACTCAACAGACCTACAACTAGTAAAGAGACTGAAGCAGCAGTCAAAAATTTCCCCAAAAAGAAAAGCCCAGGACCAGATGGCTTCCCTGGTATATTCTACCAAACATTTACAGAATTCACACCAGTCCTCCTGAAACTCCTCTAAAGAATGAAAAAGAAGGAACATTTCAGTGTTGAGCATTAACCTGATACTAAGGCCAAAGACACTCCAAGAGAGAAAACTACAGACTAATATTCTTGATGAAGACTGATGCCAAAATCCTAAACAACACACTAGCAAACAGAGTTCAACAACACATTGAAAGGATTATATGCAAAGGCCAAGTGGGATTTATTCCTGGAATGCAAGGATGTTTCAATATAAGAAAATCAGTCAGTGTAATACACCACATTAACAGCATGAAGGAAAACACACAGTCACTTCAACTGATACAGAAAAAGCATTTGACAAGATTCAACACAACTTCATGATTAAAACCACTCAACAAAGGAACAGAAGGAAATTACCTCAACCTCATAAAGGCAGTATATGAAAAGCCCACAGCTAACATGATACTCAGTGATGCCAGAATGAAAGCTTTTCTTCTAAGATCAGGAACAAGAAAGGGATGCTGCTTTCATCACTTCTATTGAACATAGTCCTGGGAGTCCTAGCTGGAGCAATCAGGCAAGAAAAAGAAATTTAAAAGGCATCCAAATCGGAGGTAAGAAGTAAAATTAACTCCGTTTGTAAACAATATGGTCCTGTATAGAAAACGTAAAAATTCCACCTTAGAACTTTTAGAACTAATAAGCAAATTAAGCAAAGTTGCAGGAGACAAAATTCATACAAATAATTATTGCATTTTTATATACTTAATAAGCAATCTGAAAAGACAAACTATTCCATTTACAATAGCATCAAAAAGAATAAAATACTTAGGAATAAACTTAACCAAGCAGGCAAGATGTGTGCACTGAAAAGTACAACACATTTCTGAAAGCAATTAAGGAGGACACATAGAAATGGAAAGACATCCCATATTCATGGATTGGAAGGCAATATTGTTAAGATGTCAATACTACCTAAAGTGATCTACAGATTAATGTAATCCTTTAATGCAGAAAGAGGAAAACCCAATCCAAAAATTTATATGGAAATATCAAAGGACCTTAAATAGACAGTGTGGTCTTGAAAAGAACAGTGTTGGAGGTCTCATACTTCCTGACTTCAAAACTTACCGTAAAGTTACAGTAATCAAAATAGCATGGAACAGGAATTCCTCCTCATCTGTGGTTTTGCTTTCCATGGTTATTGTTTAATGGGTACAAAGTTTCAGTTTCGCAAGATGAAAAGGTGCTGGAGACCTTTTTCACAACTCAAATATACTTAACATTATTGAACTGAACACTTAAAATAGTTATGATAAATTTTATGTGTATTTTATCACAATTTTTAAAACTCCACAAATTAAAAAAGAATAGAAGGATTTGGTTTATCAGATAAAATTTAAAACAAGTAGGGAACAAAAGCATAGGGAAGTGTAGGGTCCTTTGCAAACCATCTCTGCCATTGCAGAGCCTGAGTTCTACACCATACTTGACAGGGTCACCTCCCCTGGGCCTTGGGGTCAGTGCAAGTGACAGAGCCAGAAAGGCTCTTGGAGTCCAGCAGGCCCAGGTTCAGTTCCTGCTGTGGCCTCTCACCAGCTCCGGGCCAGAGCCCTCATCTTAGTTTCTTCATCTGTTAAATGAAGATAATACCACCTACTTTATCGAGTTGACAGCATTAAATAAACTGAGATGACACAAGCTACTTAGTGCGGGACCCAGTACAACCAGGTAACCTCGGCCGTGCGGTAAGCAAGGTCCCAGAAGTCCTTGCTGGGAATTAGCCCTCTTCAGAAACACCATCCTCCAAGACACTCTTCTCCTACCTCTCTCCTAAGCCTGCTTGTCCACTCTTGGATGAAATAGTTTTCTTCCTTTGCAGTTGAATCCCTGGAATAGTGAGAACAGTGGCCATTGCGTGTCAAGCACCTGCTCTGTCCTAGCATCTTACAACTCCATTCTGAAGTCAGTGCTTCTTCCATAGGACTGTTCTCACTTCTTTCCATTTTGCAAGTTCTGAGCCTGGCGGCAGTCTCCCTGCCCGAGTGGATGGTGCCGCCCCCTCTTACTGAGGGAGCGGTTTCTGAGGGAGAGCGCCTGTGCTGTGCAGCTGTCTCCCACAAGGCGCCCTCTGACAAGTCTGTTTTCTGTCTCCCCTCAATGACACTGTGGCTTCATGGAGTCTCACTGCATGCCCAGCGCTTAGCACAGGGCGTCCCCGCACGGCTGCGTTGTTCCCTGCATGGCTGCATTAGGCTTTCCTTTTCCTGCGAGTGCTGCCTCGTCTTTCCTTCCTCTCGTCTCAGCAGCAGGAAGAGCAAGTCCTTTCTCTGCCTCCCCGCTGCCTGGCTCCTTCAGCTATCACCAGCCATCCGCCCTACCCAGCCCTCACTCTGGTGCCACAATTGCTACTTTCCTGGCTTCTTCACAGGGACCTGACATACCCTTGAGTCTCCTATACCTGAAGGAAACCTCCTCGCCATCCTTCTAAGCAAGCACTTTCTGTCTTGTCACTTCCTTTTGTTTTTTTTTGTTTTGTTTATTTGAGACGGAGTCTCGCTCTGTCACCCAGGCTGGAGTGCAGTGGCGCGATCTCGGCTCACTGCAAGCTCCGCCTCCCGGGTTCACGCCATTCTCCTGCCTCAGGCTCCCGAGTAGCTGGGACTACAGGTGCCCGCCACCCCGCCCGGCTAATTTTTTTGTATTTTTGGTAGAGACGGGGTTTCACGGTGTTAGCCAGGATGGTCTCGATCTTCTGACCTCGTGATCCACCCGTCTCGGCCTCCCAAAGTGCTGGGATTACAGGCGTGAGCCACCGCGCCCGGCCTGTCTTGTCACTTCCTTTCCGGCTCACGTCAAGTCTCGCAAAGAGGAAGTGGCTAGGGCTGGCAGTACAGCAAGAGAGAAGACAGGGAGGACAGGCTCTGTGTCCAGCTTCCTCCTAAATGCTACTCAAACGACCCACAAGGACAGCGGAGGAAAGCCGGTGACATGCTTCTGGAAGATGGAAAACAGAAGTGAGTGACAGCTGACTTAGCCTGGAGACACCCAAAACTTAAGCTCCTGCACAGTGAGAGGCTGACAAGCAGTCAGCTGAGCAGTGTCTGCAACGCTGGAGGAGTCCAGAACCGAACCGCAGGCCACAGAGGCAAGGACAGGCCAAGACAGGGAAAGGCTGGGAGTGTGCACAAGGTACAGGAGACGCCACTGCCTCCCCTCACACCTGGCAGAGGACGGTGGGTTCCTTTCTGGAGAGCTTGACAAGAACACCTCCATGCTGGGGACATGGGCCTGAGTGGTGGTGAGGTGGCACCCTGAAAACGAGCATTGAGGGAAAGCCTGCAGAGCTCCCAGCGCCTCTCCCCAGAGCCCCGTGTGAGGCCTGCCACTTTACAGAGCTCAGCCTCACTTCCAAAGAGTGGCTCAGCTTTTCCGGCCAAGATCACATGTGAAGAAAATCTCTTGAAACACAGACACCAAAACAGAGGAAAGAGGGAGTTGGGAGAAATGGAGGCAGTGAAGGGAAGGAAGAAAACGTTAAAAAAAAAAAAAAAGTATTGAGCCTGTGAATGAACAAGAAGTTGAAAAATATATATATATTGGAAATAAATATGATGGCAAAAAAAATTTTAATAGAAGAAATGCAAGATAAAGCAGAATATAAAGACCTGGAGGAAAGGAGTAAATATAAGAGCACTGGAGGCTGAAGTCAGGACCTCCACCGCGGGAATATTGGGAGAGCCAGAAAGAGAACAAAGAGGAGGGAGGGGAAGAAAATGCCCCTGCAGTCCAGGATAAGGAGCATTCAGATGGAAACTCCAGCACAATCAATGAAAACAGAGTCTACATCATCAGAAAATTCTAAGAGCCTCCAGCGAAGACCTCGAGTCACACACAGGGGACCTGGATCCCAGCACACTGACTTCTCTTCTGCAAGAACTTGGAAAGTTAGAAGACAATGAAGAAATGTCTTTAAAGTTCTGAGGGAAATGATTTCTAGAATCCTCTACCCAGCCACGTTATTACCCAAAAGTGGGAGGGAATACACTTCAGCAAACTGCAACTGTCAGCCCAGCCCGAGGATGGGACAGGAATGAGGGTGGCCTGGATGGCAGCGACAGAGAGCCCAGACTAGCACTGCGCAGGGAGGACCTTCCGGCAGAGGGTCAGGACCCAGGTTCTGACCACGCTCTCAGAAAATGTGAGGCTGAATTACAATCCTAGAAACCTAAGCAAAATGCAAAATGAAAAACCAAATTTGAAGCAATTTTGAATTTCTTTTTTTTTTTTTTTTTTTTTGAGATGGAGTCTCGCGCTGTCGCCCAGGCTGGAGTGCAGTGGCCGGATCTCAGCTCACTGCAAGCTCCGCCTCCCGGGTTCACGCCATTCTCCTGCCTCAGCCTCCCGAGTAGCTGGGACTACAGGCGCTGCCACCTCGCCCGGCTATTTTTTTTGTATTTCTTAGTAGAGACGGGGTTTCACCGTGTTAGCCAGGATGGTCTCGATCTACTGACCTCGTGATCCGCCCATCTCGGCCTCCCAAAGTGCTGGGATTACAGGCTTGAGCCACCGGCAATTTTGAATTTCAAGAAAAACAAAAAGTTGTCTAAGAAAGGAAATGTAATCAAAGTACACTCTGTGTCTCATCTGAGAGCCATGTTTGCATGGTTCTAATGCCAAAATAGATCTGGGTCTGGCCCAAAACTGTGATGAGTCTGTTGGGAGGATGGCGGGATGTGGTAGGAGAGCCAAAGGTCAGGCTTCTACAGTGATGGCAGCAGCAGCACACGCTACATGTCAACAGACCACACAGGACCATGTGTGCTGTAACCCACCGCGGTCTCCGAGGCAGGCTGCTGCTGTGACTTCAGTTTACAGTTGAGGAAGCTGAGGCACAGAGAGGTTATATGATCTGCCTAAAGTCACACAGTTAAAGTCTGTGCTTTAGAACCACTATGCTTACCCACTTTTTGAGTAGAAAAGCAAGATACGATTTAAGCCATCAAGAAGTAGCAGTGTAAGTAACAATACGGAGAGAAATGCCAAACACAACAGTTAAAAGCCTTAAAAGCGTTGCCTCCCGGGAGTGGAAAGGGGTAAGAAATTTCATTTTTCTTATAAAGCGATCTGTTGACATGGACACATGCCATTTTGAAAAACTGGATCAGGGAAAGCCAGGCAGGCAACTGGCTGTGGAGAGCTGGTCTGCAGTGTGCCTACAGCCCTGCCGGGCTGGCTGGTCCTAGATCGCCACCAGCCTGGGACTCGGCTTCCTCACCTGCAGGCGCTGGACTGAACGATTTCCAAGTTCTCTTCTGGCTCTTCACGTTCCAGCAACAAACAAGACCAGTGATTTAGAGAACATGTGTGCTGTAACGACAACCAGACAGAGTGATGCGACAGACTAAGTAGGCCCTGCCTACCACTCCTGCCCCTCCAGGTCAGGCGCTGGCGGGGGCAGGAGCCACCCGGATGAGGGGAGAGAGGGTGCAGGAGTTGAGGTGGGAGAGTTGAGTCTGCAGCAGGAGATTAACAAGGACCCTCTGGGTGGTGCACTGGGGACAGACCCCAGGGGAACAAAGACGACGGAGAGGCAGCCAGGCATTGGGGGAGGAGAACAGGGTGGGAGACGTGGCAGGAAAGTGCTGATGAGTCTCGCTGGGGGCTGCTGGGATGTAGGTGAGGGGAGGGATGTGAGTCCTTCCAAATGCTGAGTCCCCAAGGCAGCTGCACAGCGGGGTCCAGACCGTCATCGCCCCCCAGGTGCTCATCTTTTGGGATGGCAGCCGCTTCCATCCAGTGCCCTCTCCAGACACCAGCGCTGCTCTCAGCCGGTGCCTTTTGTCATTTTCTCGTACACCCCCGCTCAGTTTCCCCAACAGCTGAGTCCTGGCAATTTCAGGCCTGAGCACTTGCCTCTTCTCTTCCCTCAGCACCGTCCTACCCCAGGCTCTCCTTAATTCATCTCAACTTTCCTATCCCAGCATGTCACCAGGTCTAATCTGTGTCCCCACCCTGGCTAGGGTGTCCCAGGACTATCACATTGCCAGGCCCACAGGGCACACATATCTGGCTAGCCTCGTGTTTTTCCCACGGCCACACCTTTCCTAGGGCAATGTGCCTGAAATCTGGGGAACACTGATGTCGCACAGGCTGGTGACAGAACCAAGAGGCAGCAGACATGCCTCCTGAGCAAAACTAAGGCCTAGAGCCCCCCAGAGCAGCTCTTGTTTGCTGAGAAGAAAACAAGCCCCATGAGTTCAGTGTGACTGCTTCAGGGTCTACTTGTCCACAATTGGTGGCAAATGCCAGTGTCCAGGGCCATTTCTGGCGGGTCACGAGCCACTGCTGGTACCTGGACAGCTGCATTTCTTGTCTTCCTGCACCTGCAGTCCCGTCTGCAAAGCCCATCTCAAGGAGTCGCCCCACAGGCTGACCCCTCATGGCAGGGGCACACAGGGCAACGGAGGGAGGGGCCGGGAAGAGCCGCCCCCACCCCTGTAATACTCATTTCCATTTTTGTTTGAGTCACTTTCAGGCAAATCACTTCTGTCCTTATGTAACAGTCTGTGGCCCAGACCCAGGCAAGTGGTAAATATTTACCTTCACGCTGGAGCCAAGATCGCTGCGGGGAGTCCCACGAAGCACCACTGCCCTCTAAGACCTTGGAAAGGGAAACAGCAGAAGGTGTGGGTGCGGGTGCTGGAGCTCCGCTGAGTCACACGGCCAGCACCCGAGTGGGAACTCAGAGCTGAAACCTGGGTTCTCACTGCAGCTGGATAACAGGTGTTTACAAAAGTCTATGTATTGTTTTGGCTTATTTCTAATTTTAATAGTTATTGGCAATTTTCAAAGTCCTTTAAGAAACATTGAAAATTGCTCAAGAAAATGGCAGTTCTGCAGGGCTCAGGTAGCAGGGCAGGCTGTTGAGACAGGTTTGACAGACTGTCCTAATAAAAGGAGTGCCTTTTCCCAGAACAGCAGCTCTAGAGGGCGGCCACCTTGCCTGGAACCTCCGCAACTTCCGCACCCACCGCACAAGGGCTGAGAACAGTGAGGTAGGGGCTGTGCTGGGCTCAAGAACAGGGGCAGTTGCTCACCTGGACAGGGTGTGTCTGGGAGGCCCGTGCTAGGACCGGGACAGGGCGTCTTCTGGCCTTGAGCTGCTACGATGGGGGTAGGGGTTGGGAGGGGTGGAGGCTGGTGCCCTCGGAGTTGGGGAGGCTCCGCCGTCAGCAGGTCAGGACTGTGTTCCTGGGAGGAGGTGGCCTGTGCGGGCGAGGCAGGGTTGCCGCTGCAGGGCTGAGGAGTATCAGTCCATCCAGGTGGCGCGGGGAGGCTAAGGGCGCGGTCCTCCTGCCTAGAACGCAGGTGTCCTGTCTGCTACAGAGACATCAAGGAAGTCGCCAATGTGTGCCCCTTTCTCTAGCCTAGGGATTGGCAAACGACACCATGTCCACAGGTTAGAGCCGACCTGGTGCCCGTTTGTGAACAGCCCACAAGCTAGGAATGGCTTTGACATGTTTAAATGGCCGAAAGTCAAAATATCTCATCGTGTGTGAACACTGTAGGCCATTCTCATCTGCGTGGGAAACTAACGCCTTATCTGAGCACAGCCAGGCCCATTCACGTGGTACGGGCTGTGACCCGCAGAGGGGAGCGGCCCCAGTGCAGGCTCTCAGGGCGGGAGCCGGGGCCCCAGGTGCTGACCTGTGGCTTCCCTTCTCCCCGCAGCTCTGCCCGGATGGCCCTCGTCTTCCTGTACGGCACCTTGAAGCGGGGTCAGCCCAACCACAGGGTCCTGTGGGACGGCGCCCACGGCTCCGCAGCCTTTCGGGCGCGCGGCCGCACGCTGGACCCCTACCCGCTGGTGATCGCGGGGGAGCACAACATCCCGTGGCTGCTGCACCTGCCTGGCTCGGGGCGCCGCGTGGAGGGTGAGGTCTACACGGTAGATGAGCGGATGCTGCGCTTCCTCGACGACTTCGAGAGTTGCCCGGCCCTGTACCAGCGCACGGCGTTGCAGGTACAGCTGCTGGAGGAGGGGGCCCCGGGCGCGGAGGAGCCGCCGGCGCCCACTACGGTGCAGTGCTTCGTGTACAGCAGGGCCACCTTCCCGCCGGAGTGGGCCCAGCTCCCGCACTACGACAGCTACGATTCCGAGGGGCCGCACGGGCTGCGCTACAACCCCAGGGAGAACAGATGAGGGGGGCAGGCAGGGTGGGCCTACGCCTGAGAGCCCTGGGGCTCCAAGATGTGCCCAGCCCATGCTGGGTGAAGGCCGAAGCAGAACAGGGCCCTTTCCAAGGAATCAGCGGGAGAAGGAACCAATCTTTCAGTGGCAGCTGATTTTACAAATAATGTTGACACACAAATAGCAAGGTGGTTCCCTCCCATCTTTCCACCTGGTAGGAAAAATTCAGGATTTTAATACCCCTAAATGACATTTAGAGAACTCATGTTATGCCTAATTCTTCTGCTCTTCTTCCTTGTGTTTTTTGTTTGCTCAGCTTTGAGCTCAAGATAATATTTAGGATCAATGTAAAGACTTGGTGTTGCAGCTAGATTTTAGCAGCCCTATTACACTGATTCTGGCCTGTAGCCCCTGAGAAAAGCTGATTTCACAGGGCTGGGTAGAATTTGTAAAGAAGGTCCACAGGGCAAGCATGCTGTATATCAGAGTGCGTACAGCACCATTCTTCATAATTTTCAGATCAAGCTTCATAGCAGATATTAAAGATTATTTAAATTTGAAGTTGATGTTTTGGGAAATCAAATATAAAAGTGTTGGTACTGTGTTTGACCACCACTTCTTTGGTATACTTACTTGGTAGAAGGTTCTCTACATTCTGATCTAGCAAAATAATGAACACCCACTTGCCGGTAGACACAGCTGAGCGTCCAGACTTCAAGTGCAAGTTTATCTCAGCCCAGATCTCAGCAGCCAGGCCCGGTCCCTGCCCCCTGAAGGGAGAGCATTTGGGGGTGGTCCTTTCAGAGAAGAGCCAACGCATTAGTAATTTGTTCTTTAGGCCTGACAGAAGCTTAGCTTCCAAATACAAACAGCACTTAAAATAATTTTAGCAAGGCACGAAGTACCAATTACTACCCACCTCCATCTGATAATAATTGTCAGCATCGATTCAACTCGATGCACAGCTCTTAGCTTCTGCTTCCCAGCAAAGTCTGAAATGTATTCCAAGAATTTCAGAACCAAATGAAAATGCAGCTGCTGTGATCCTTAGTAACCTCGTTCTCTGTTGGGAGAGCTCACTTACTCTTCAACTTAATGGTAGACTGTGATTGCTAACTGCATCTGGCACAAAAACATGATCATTATTTTTAGCTTCTTTTGCTTAATTGGAAACTTGCTTCACAAAAAACACAAAAAGGCTAGGAGGGGTCTCAGCTGATGAGTTCGTGGCAGCCCTGTGCTTGACGGGGTGGGTGACGCAGCCCAAGCTTCCTGCGACTGCCCTGGCTTGTGCAACAGGGAAGGGACCAGGCAGCGCGCTCATCCTCAAAGTAGTGCAGACAGCACCCCCAGCCAACATGGAAGCTTCAAGGTGACCTCCAGGAAGGTGACCTCCAGGCGGTCAGCCATCAACACTACACCCACATAGAGACACAGCAGGAAAGGGATTGCCAAAATCTGCATTTGCAGTCTCCCATCCTTAGGAAGTTAGGAAAATCAGCACCAGGAGTGAGGGCCTCACTTGCAGAAGTAAGGCAATCAGATGAAAAAATGGCAAGTGCTAATTTAATAAAGCAAGGCAAATAACTGACATTTATATCAATCTTTTAAAAGGATCACAAAGAAATGCTGGCAGTCTACTGGCAGAGGCTGTCGCCTATGTGTACACTGTCTTCAAAGAAAGGGCAAACTAATATTTAGACAAATGCTCAGTTTGATTGATTTAATTTTGATACTAGGAAATCTCACAGAAGTACAAATCATATGTACAAGTATTTATATCTGAAAATTTCCATTGGTGATTTTTTGGCAGATACTGGTCTTGACTCTGGAATAAATGACGACGTAAACGTAGCTGCACAGGGGTGTTCCTGTAAAATGCTTGAATCAATTGTGTGTGAAAGCATCACACAAATGGCTAATTAAATTGGGTGATGACTGAAAGGTTATAAATCCTTCATTCCAGCTCCACGAGCAGATCCCCTTCTCCAACTGTGTCTCCAGCTTGACAGTGCACAGATTTCACCTTGAATTTTAAAAAATGCAGGGGGAGGGGAGAGTAAGAATTAGTAACCAGAACCAGGAGGCAGCAGGCTCCTAATCCATTTCTAGAAATGCACAGTCCTGCAGGCCCAGCAGCACAGGCACACGCCACCCCACCAGAGCCCAGCTAAGGGACCCTGGTGAACAGGGGGGCGCCATGGTGGCTGTGGCTCACCCCTCCCTCTCCCGTCTCCTCTGTCCTCGGCACCCTCACAGTGGCTGGTCTGAGGGCTGCTCTCCGGGGCACTTGTGCACTCTGGCTTCTCGCGCTGGGCACCCTCAGGTCTAGGCGGGCTCTTCACTGCCTGGTGAGTTCTAACCCCTAGCCTCCCTCTCTATGGTTTCAGGTTGTGGAAATGTTCTCTGAGAATTAATGGAACATTTAGTGTAAAAGAAAAAAAGGAACAACACACACGACAGTCAGATCAGCCGCTGAGTAAGAGGAGGACCTCCCTAGCCTGGGCGGCACCTTCCTTCTGAAGGGAAATGGAGTCCTTGGCACGTGGGGCTGTGCGGTCGTCCTTTCCGGCACCATGGGTGTGTGGAACTGTGCCTTTTTGTCCTACCGGTTTCAGTCAATCTTTATCAAGTTTTGCTTTCCCAAATTTGGGTTCCGACTTAAAATTAGCAAGGAGGGGGTTAAGGTGGGGAAGAGACAGTCATTTGACTTCTTGGAGGCTCTTGCTTGGGCCTGAAAATGAACAATGGGCTAGAACTAATCGGCCACTGCAGACGCTACTTGGACTGAAGAGGCTGCTTTCCACGATGCTCCTGCCTCCATTTAGCAGCCCTACTAGAGGACGCAGCGTTAGTGATGCTGCGACGACCGGAGTAGAGAATCTGTTTCCTTTGTGAACTTTTTCTCTGGGAGGAAAAGTGGCCTCGCAGGTAGGAACCAGGGCCTGCTACTTTGCACAGGGGCTTCGGGCCACTTCTGCTCTTCCTGGCTGGATTGGAACTGAGAGGCCTGGGGATGGGGAGAGGTGAACACAATGCACAAGGCGGCTCCAAGCAGGAGGGCCGAGGGAGACCCAGGCCACGAGGACAGGAAACCCACTAACGCATGGACCACCCCCCTTCAGGGAACTGAGGCCAAGTTCATTTCTGCATTAGCACCTCAGACCCGCAGCACAGGGCCCTTGGCATGCGGCGGACACACGTTCCCGGTTCCCCACAACTAGGCCAAGTTCTCATCACAGTGGATGTCATGACGCTAGGGCAGCACAAATGTTAAATCCCAAAGAATGGATACTAATTTTTATACGAACAGAAACCAACATTTTCTTGTTCACTTTTAAAAAAAAGTAATTTAGAAAGAATTCCTTAAAATACCAAATCATGCCATTCTACTCTCCATGCCCCACCAACACGGGGCAGCCGTCCACACCCCTCCAGACTGGCTGGCTGGGCTCAGGAGCCCCTGGCATCCACCTGGGCCTCTGTTCTCCCAGCCGGGACCAGGCATGACATCCCCGCTGCCCCTTCTCTGAGAATCCGTTTCATTGCCTTCTGCAGTGACAGACCATGAAACAGAGGTTGTGTCTCTCTCTGATGCAAACCTGGTTATGAACTGATGGATCTCTCTTTGCACCTGATGTCCCCAAGGCACGGCCACATACAAAACATGGCCAGTCTTGCGCTTCCGATCATGCTCCACCATGCAGACACTTCCAAACCAGAACAGCCCTCAGAAAGGGACCCTTTACCCACTAACGGCATCTTTTTAGTCTTTTTAGTCACAGGAAGAATAATGAAGTTATTGCTTAAAAGGACTTTTCTGTTTTCTTCAAGAAAAAAAATACACTTGAGTTTCACTATTAATGAATTTCAGTACTAATAGATATTCTTTTTTTCTCCCTAAATAATTAAGTCCCACATGTACATGGGGTTTCGGCTCCTCTTGATCTGCAACTGAATTGTTCTCTTTGTAGAGAAATTGTCTTGAAGAGTTACATTAATTTTTGCAATCTGTAAAACCGTTTCCTGCTGTGTCACCTAAGTCTCAGATAACTAACTGCCTCCAAGACAGATGTAAACATTAAAAATTAAAGACCCCTTAATTTGAAAGACATTAAGGTGAAGAACAATTGTTCTCTGACTACCTGAACATAATGCACAGAGTTTTTTGGAAGGCACGCTCTCCACGAGGCAGGGACGCATCAGGGCAGAAAGGCAAAAGCTCCCAATCCTAATGTCCTCTGTAGGAGCGAGAGGGAGAGGGTGCCTCTGTGACCCTTTCCAGCCAAACCACCCACGATTCAAAGGTGGGTGTTCCTCCATCACAAGGCCAGCCTGGGCTGATGGGGACTTGGGGACTTACCGTGCCAGTTTTCCCAGCTGTCATACTATTCTGCATTTTCATGGCTTCAATCACACAAATTTCTTGACCTTCTGCTACCTGGAAACAAATTTTAAAAAGGGCAAAAGTTTTAAAAGCATTCTAATTTTGCAATAACGCTTAGGAATGAAGCCATTAAGAAATTCTTTGTCAAATGCCCCAAAATATGTGCCTATGAACAGCAGCAACAATCTCTAATTAGTTTCCTATTCCGAGCTCATCTTTAGGAACAGTAAAGAAACACCATTCTCTCTCTCATAAAGTCCTTGTTGGGAAAAAAATCCCTGGCCCTGGAGAACTGGGGGCCCTGGCTGTGGGGCCTACCCTGGGGATCTCTGAGTCTGGCTCTGCCACTAACAGAGCTGCTGGGAAATGGGAATGTTTTCCACTTGCCTGAAATGTCCAGAATAGGCAAATCTCTACAGACAGACTCAAGGTTGCCTGGGGTTGAAGAGGGAAGGGGAGTCACTGCTGAAGGGTACAGGGTTTCTTTCGAGATAAAAAGTGTTCCAAAATTGATTGTGGTGACAGCTACAGAAGTCTGAATTGACTGAAACCACTGAATTGTACATTTTAACATCTCAGTATAGCTGTTACCCAAAAAAAAAAAAAAAAAAAAAAGCCCCACCAAATACACACATTTCTGTCTACAGTCCCGGGGAGCTGGGAACAGCTCAGGCCTGGCGCCATGAGGACCACTGGTCCCATCCTCTGCAAGACACAGCGGGTACCCACGAGTACCCACAACGAGGCACAAGGCAGCTTCCGGAAAGCCCCTCCCGACACGGGAATGACTTCCAGAGCTACACGCTCTCCACGCTAGGAGACTGGGAGCGCCCACGGGCCCTTGCTCAGACTGCGTTCAGAGCTTGCCTTTCATTCTGCGGGGAAGCCAGGCTGAGCTGGGTGTAAGCCCACTGGGGTTAAGCCCGAGGCTTCCCTGCAGGAGTTAGCTACAGCTGAACACCATGCTGTGTGCTCACTCCGCTCTGCCTAGATGGGTCAGCATCCTGAGCCGGCCAGGTTTTTCTTCTGCTTTTGTGAAAAAGGGCCTCCCAGTCTTTGAAACGGGCAAGTCCAAGTTCCTAGGGCAGTGGCCATGTGGGATGGGTAGGTGCCCTGGCCTGGGGCTCCTGGCCCTTCACACCACTGTGGCCGTATTCGTCCAATGCCGCAGAAG